ATGGCCCTTGCACCTCCTACCCCCTTCTGTCCCCTGACCCCCCAAGGCATGGTGACCCCCTGGCTGCACCTCCTGCTCGGAACAGAGCTGCACAGCCCCAGTCCTGCCAGAGGCCAAGAGAGCTCCTCAGTGTTTTGGGGTGCCCTGCGGGATCCCCATCAGGAGCTAGGTGTTCCTCCCACCATCCTCTAGTGCACATGTATTAGCATATGCTAATACCTTATGCTAATACCTCCAAAGAGGTAAACACTCCAAAGAGTGGCAATAAGGCTTAGGGACTTTACTGTTGCAGTACATCGTTTTGGCACAACATGGAAGAGAATTGTTAGTAATATGTCATGTCACTATGTAGCGCAAAAACCCAACTCACATCTCATGGTGAGAACAAGTGTTAACAGGATGAATATTGTCAGTAAGCTTTACAGCAAAAAAAAAAAAAAGACAATTACTTTTTTAAATGATTTTTCCATTTTGGAGAACTTAGGTTTTAGTGTAATTTTTGAAGGGGAGCAAGGAACAGTTTTGTCATGTTTTGAAGTCACCACAAAACCTCTATATCACCTCATATTAATAATTTAAAAAAAAAATTCCACTAGAATGAAACCTGTTTTTAAAATAGAACTAATTTTTGGACAGAAAAAAAACCCTATTGTAACAACCTTTACACTACATAATCACTGCAAATAAAAAGACATATTAAAAAATAAAGAGGTTTGTTAGCTTCTTTGGCCACACCCCTCTGCCTTAAGCCCTGCCCACTCGGGTTTCTGACAAATCTGAAAAAAATATCCATAAGCCCCACTGACATGGCCTACCCCTGTTCTGGAGTTTTGGCCTGCAAGTGAGTTAGCATGTGGAAAAATGCCTTTGTTAAACATGTTAGTTGAAGGCAAAATTACTTGCAGCCGTTCAAAATTATATTGTTCAAACACAAACTAGATTGAGATGCGGTATTGAATGACATGCACTTATTCTTGCTACTTTTATCCTTTCCTCAGTTTTAATTCTTGCATTAATACTAACTCATTAAAAAATCTTTGAACTGCAACCAGTATATATGCTGTGTCAGCCATGCAAATATTTCTTTTGCATGTGCTTGCTAGCATGTACTATTCTTCTCGCCGTATCAGTGCCTGCTGTCTCTCGTCGTATAATATCCTCTAATCCTTTAGACTGTAAATATTATTTCCTCCCTCTTCACTTCCTGGTGGTAATCAAGGATTATTTTGCAAAATATGTTTTGGAAATAAGGGATTTATTTTCATTAGGTGGGGTGTGAAATAGTGAGGAAGTGCCAGGACAGCCTTCAACAAACATACATCAAGAACTTTGTTAATCTGGGTTATTGGAGGGCTTGGTTTGAACTGCCTTGGAGGAAGTCGCTGGCTCGTGATAGGAGAATGTTTCCAGGCCTGACTCAGATGTGTTAATTGGAATGTCAGGCCTGTTTCATATTGAGCCCTCATGTTGCCTTTCCCAGTGACTGGAAATGGTGCTGCAGTGGAAAACAGCTACAGGGAAACTCCCTTGTTTTGATAACAGAATCTGTGGCCCCCATGATCCTGTGCCACTGCCAGATTCCTCCTTCCTCCCTTCTGTTTGGTGACTGAGAAGCATCCACTGGTGGGGAAACATTTCCAGTGGGGGTGGTGAGCTTTCTCCTCCATTAGTGACCCTGTAACGCCATCAGCACCCTTAATAGCAGGACTACTAGAGTAGGGTTGAAGTTCAATCCTGCCTTGACTCAAGTGATGTTGCTGCTTGCCACAATCGTTGTGCTTGTGTCATTCCCAGCTGTATGTCTGTGCTTGAAATGTGTTGAAAAGTAAGGAAGCATTGTAGCCTAGCCACTATGTGATTTGCATAGAGTACTGAATAAAACGATTTGTCTCGGAAATTCAGGAGAGAGAGAGAGAAAACTACCTTCTTATTGGGAACTTGTACACACTGATATTGTGAAGGCAGAGCGTTGGGGGCAGATTGATCCTGTGGGTACATTTCCATCACAGTCATTACTGTACATGGAAATGCAGAGCACATATGTAAAATGCTCCCTAGTGCTGTTGAAGCAATCCTGGATAACCAGCTGATTTCAGAGAAAACAGTAATGGCATGATAATAATGTTGATAACATTTCCTGCTCTTTCTTCAGAATACAGTACAAATACACCCTCTTTTTCCCTCAGGATACAGAAAACTATGTTTTCTAGTAGGGAACCCGAAGACTGAAGCATGTCTGACTCTTTTTCTGTGTCCTTCTCAAGACCACAGAGCAACATCTCCATGGTACTGTTATCGCACCTTGACTCCACTTTAACTGTCATGGATCCATCCTGTGGAATCTAGGGAGTTGCAGTTTAGTGTGGGACTTGGAATTCTGTGCCAGAGGGATCTACTATGCGCTGTGGACCACAATACAGAATTCCTTCACCAGACTGCAGATCCCAGGCTTCCATAGGATGGAGCCATGGTAGTTAAAACGGAATTAGCCTGTTCTAACTATGTAGTCTAGGCTAGAGGTGTATTTCTGTAGGTTAGACACATCTACACATTACAGAGCATTAAACCCACTTGCTTTTAGCGCATACAGAGGGTGTACCGTTCCTCTCTCTCTCTCTCTCTCTCTCTCTCTCTCTCTCTCAACTAACTCCAGGCTATCTCAGGCCTACTTTTTGTACAAAAAGGAAACTGCCCCAGTGATTCCTGGGAGGCCTAGTCCTTGTGGTGTGTTGTTCTTTAGAGGAGCCCTCTAATACAGCCTAATAGGCAGCAAATTTAAAGCATCCCTAAAGATTTAGGCTGCTCACGAAGGACCGGGGTAGTTTCCTTTTTTGTACAGGAAGTAGGCCTGAAGCAGCGTGGAAAAAGAGGCCTGTTCCAGGTGAGCAAAATGTAGGTGTCTGTGGAGAGGAACTCCCAGAATTCTAATGGGATTGAGTTGAAACTGGTTTGGGGTTATTGAGCTCTGAACCTATTTGTTTTTCAAAAGAGTACTACCTTTGTTGTGCTAGTAAAGACTCTGTGCAGTCCCAGGTATGAGTTCATGGGATCATCCTGTCTTCTCATAGTGACCATGCTTTGAGATTAATTAGGATGATTTGTGGTTTCGAGGATTAAAATTTATTCTGGGATTGTAATCTGATTTCATTTGTATCATGTGGTAAATTGTGCTTTTAAAGTTGAGTTTTGGGACATGTAATCTCTAATTATGTACAATCAGAGGTTATTTATCTTCTGAAACCCATTCTCCTTCAAACAGTCGTTGCATGATCTTTGTACAGTATTCTGCATACTGAGATTTGTGCATGATGGGATTGGTGGAAGTGTGGAGGGGTATTGATGGAATTCTGTAGAAAGTTTACAACATGGGATTTAGCTGAATATGAAAATTATTTTATCCACGCATCATATTTCAAACTTAGATTTGAAAAATCGATGTGGTGTTTTTCCCCTTGTTGTTTTACAAACGGGTTATGCTTTCTTAAAGTTATGTTGGTCTTGCATGTTTTAATACATTGTATGCAAAATGTTACTAATTGAAAAGGGCTTGACATACCTGCTCTGGCATATCAGTGATAAGAAGTTTGTAAGATGATAAGTTATGGGGTGCCTGAAACTCCTTGAAAGGGTTAAAACATTTTTGAGTGCATTACCCCAGATCAGAAACTGATGACATCATTGGGTTTGTCCTCATGCCACGTTTGTTCATAGTTCTTTCAACAACAGAGTTCTATGAAAATTGTTCCTCCTAAGTCAGTTTTTATAATGTGACAAATCTTTGTATTACATTGAATTCTTCTTGGATATTCTGCTTTCATTACTGAAAACTGGTTGTTTCAGAGAATATAAAGTAATTATATTTTATATTACATAAAGCATTAATTCTCCATTAAGTCAATCTGACAAGTAACTCATCCAAAATTACTTGTCCAGAAATATTTTTATTAGACCAAAAAGTCTATAGATTATCCATTTGTGGTGTGCGAGTGCTCTGAAAGGGGGGGAGGGAACCAACACTCTGTCTGGATGTAAATAATTTTGGGGCTGTTTACAAGCCTATGTAATTATGGTAATATCGAAACGCCATAAACTGCCTTAAATAACTGAATATAAAGGTGACTGAGAAATAAACAAAAATGTAGTCACTGTATAGATTCCAACTATTTTCAGATCAAAGCTTGAAAGTCTTACACTTTGGGGCTGCACCTCCAAACTTGCACCACCTCCCAGGTTTCTGGGATTTGTAGTCCAAAAATAAGGTTTCCAACTTCTGGTTGAGATGCATTTTGCATGGACAAATTAGAATAATTTTTATGTTTTCTCTTGGGTATACTTGGTTATATCCTGTAGTGCCCATCCACCAAGAATATGGATTTTCTTTCCTTGGTAGGCTGCCTACCTGTTCACCTGGTATGCTGTGCAATAAGGGAGCTTCTTTCAGATCAGTTTTGAAGAGCACACAAGAACTGTAAAAAAAAGAAGAAAAGGAAGGAGGCCTTCCATTCCACGGATGGAAGTTGGCTCCTGTGATGTAGATCAAGTACAGAACAAACATAGCAGCGCTAAAATAAGAAATAAATTTTAGAATGCCGTTCCAAAATGTGCTGTGCCCACATTTATGGCACACAAAAAATCTCCAAAAACTGTGTCACCACAGACAGTAATGGTACAAAAGAAGCTAGCATTTGTGGACATCACTGGAAACTGACCCCATGTCATATCTTGTAAATTCTCTTAAATATTCTCTAACTCCAGTCTCAGTAATGAATTTTAATTTCTCTGCATGAGTTTATTTGGGCTCCTTCACAGCTGGCTAATGTGTGAAATATTCCCAACGAGTCTCGCTTACAGCATTGATTTTGAGTATAGCTTTAGAAAACTGTCTGCATTTTAGTTGGTTTCCATTTGAAATCAGAATAGCAGTGCATGTCAAGCCCTTAACTTTTTCTACATTCTAATTTTGCATATATAACTCTTTATGATTTTGTTGCATTCACTAGGTTTGCTGGTATGGGTAATCTTCTTAAAGTCCTTACCAGGGAAATTGAAAACTACCCACATTTTTTCCTGGATTTTGAAAGTAAGTTCAAAGCTTGGAACGTCATTTTCCCTGACTTGGGAAGTGGTTGAGAAGAAATGTTTAAGCCTGAATTGCTTTGACAGATAAAAAAAAACACCTTCAAGCAACACAAGTGATCTAACTCAGTGTTTTCAAGAATTGTTGTCTGAGCATCTTTCCTGTTCCTTTTTCTATTTTTCAGGAACCAAATGGGAAATCTTTTAAAAGTTCTCACTTGCACAGAGTTTGAGCAAGGGCCAAATTTTTTCCTTGACTTTGAAAGTGAGCAAAGCTACCTGCCTGGCTTGCATTCTTTTCTCAAGTTTTTTTTTTAAATTCCTAATATATTGCATGGATTAATAATTTGCCATACAAGCAGTATACAGTGCACACCACTTAAAGGTTTCCTTCCTAATTTTGAATGTTGGCTGTTCAGTTCGTCCAAAATACCAATGTATTTTTGCAATGTTAGAAGTCATAAAACAGTTTGGCTTAACAGGCTAGCATTGCCTTGTATTCTGAATGGGAGACTCTTAATTGCATGAGCCTATGTTTTACAATCTTGTTGTTACCGTCTACAGGGAACAGAGTTTTAATGACTTTTGTTCAATTTGTATCTTACTAAATTTGTATCTTAGGTGGTGCCATTTTGAAGATAGGAAGTAAGCCTTGAGGTCACATGCATGCCCCTCCCCTTGCCATACAAAATTATCATTATTCGGTGGCTTGCACTGTATTCCAAAGAGACTTGTAAGCAAATTATCCTGCCCTTTACTCTTTCCCCCCCCCTTTTTTTCTTTTGGAAATGCATACAGGCATTTCACATTACTATGGAACTGCTAAAGACCAGTTAGGCAGAAAAGTGTCAACATTGCACATGAAAAATAGATTTATTTTCCCCTGTCATTTGCAAACGTTATGTCTAATAGAAAAGCCAATTCAGGCAAATTGAAAGAGCTCTGACACAAAGTTTCTCTGATTTCCTTAGTATTTCTTGAAAGATTTAACTTAATATTTTAGCTATTATTTGCCCTCTAAAGAATAATGCCCACTTATGCTTTATATGACACTTTCCAACCCTTTATTCAGTGTTGAATTAATGTAGACTTGGGCAACTTTTTATCATCTCCAGTGCTGCTGCAGCAGCAGCTGACTGTGGATCAGAGGTCAGAGTGGCTGGAGATGGCAGAGAGTAGGGTTGGTTGTGTCTGATCATGTGTATGACCTCAGACACACTCAAGCTCTTTCCCATTCCTTTTTTGCATGTGGGAATTAGGAAATTGAAGCTTTCCCTCCTGGCATATTGAGATCTCTTAATGTGAGTGCCTCACCACCTACTGCACAGCTGGTTAACCTTGGTAATGGCTCAGGAGCAGACATCACACCCTTAGTTGCAGGCACTAATTAGCTAGGCAGTAGGTGAGTCAGATGGAGAGCAGGGAGGGACTCACAGGTCACATGTAAGTCAGCTGATTGTGATAGGTGGGCCACAGATTGTCCATATGTAGTTTTTTCTGCAATATTTGTAAAAACAAATGATAATATAGCAATTGAAATAGAACCTGTGATTGCATTTCCTTTTGCCTTGTATCTGTCATCTGGTGAAATGTAATATGCTTTGCATATTAGTTTACTAACCATATCTTCTACTGGATTATTGCTAATACATCTCTCTTGCTTACAGTCTGAATGCTTGTCATTGGAGCATTGCTTTAAAAACTGATCAACAAATGGATTACATGCCCTTCATCCACTAAAGATATATAACACATCAGCTGTGCTTGCTCTGTTGTATTATATCTTTTTAAACACAGATGAGGGAGGTTTGTGTTGGTTTTTTACACAAGCCACTCTATTTCACAACTAACATTTTTATGGAAGGAACTTCTAATAGCCATTGTGTCAGTTACAGTCCAAACCCCCTACTTCATTTTTAAAATGTCTGAATTTCTTAATGCTCCCTGGTTATTTTGCATAAGAGCATCTATTATTATTCATAGGCTGTGATCTTTATATCAGCACAATAGATCCAAACCTTTGGCCTTCAGAGCTTTTGGACTACATTTCCCACCCTCCCTTATCACTGGCCATACTAGATGTGGGTTATGGGGAGTCACTGGCCAAAACATCTGGAATGTCAGGGGGTCTTCACCTCTCATATTCATTTTTGTAAAAGAGTATTCTTTGGCCTGTTTTCAAACTGTGTTTTCTTGAAGCATGGAGGCAACAAGTACTAGGATGGAATCCTTCTGGAATTGCCTCTATCCTAGCATCTTCCTGATACAAAATACAGCATGTCTCGTATTCTAGAATGACCTTTTTTTGAAAGAGAAGGAATGCCCCATTGTTGTTTTGCTTAAGAGCACAGTCCTCCTCTGTAAGAGTGGGTGATCTCTGGGGGTTGCACAGGCCCATTGCTAGATCTTGGAGGACTCCTCCTGAAACCCAGTTTCAATGTCTTTCCTTACAAAAATGGGTTCGGTAGGGAAGGCAGGGGAGCCGAGAACCCTAAAAAAAGGTAGAATTACCATCCAAAACCCCTAGAGGGCACAAAGGGTCTTCACTAAGCCCATTTTTTGTCATCTTGGGCATGTAGAAAATATTGGGGAGCCCATATTTGGGTTGTGTTTCCCTGCTGTCTAGTCCATGTAAAGAAGAGTTGGGGAACCTATGGCCTAGGCAGATGTTTTGGGGCTCCTATTCCCCTTTATCCCTGCAAGTATGGCCTGTGGTGAGTGATGCCTGGAGATGGAATCTGTGATCTTTGGGGAGAGGAGGCCAGGCCATCCGTATTTTCTATCCAGGAAGGACTGTTGAAAACTGACATGCCTCCAAAGACATCAGCAGCACAACTGTGGTTTCTCACATATAGTGATTTCTTGTGCTTGTGAGAAACATTTAAGTCAATTGGAATATTTTAGAGTCTGTGGGTATGTAGGTAAATGAGCAACACTTAGTATTTGCAGAAGCATTGCATCCAAATGAGCATAAGATTTCTTCTAAAGCAGTGGTTCCGAACCTTGACTGTCCAGGTGTTCTTGCACTATAACTCCCATAAATCTTGGTCAGCACAGCTTAGTGGTGAAGGCTTCTGGGAGTTTTACTCCAAGAACATATGGGGATCCAAAGCTGGGAACCACTTTTCTAAAAATTCTTCACCCTCCCCCTCCTAAAAAAGAAAGAAAGAAAGACTGGAACATATGAAGTAAAGGGCTTGAGCTAGATGGAAGAAATTGGTAATATAAAAACCTCAAGATTTGTAATTATTTGCAAATGAACAGAACCTCATCAGATGCAGTCTTCTTCTCAGAGTACAGCATTACAGATTGCATGATATTTGTATGAAAGGTAAATATGTTTTGTGTCCCTGATGTTCTCAGCCATTCAGGCTGAAGCCTTCACCTGCCTCAGGAGTGAGCAGCAGTGTAGGGTTCAAGAGCCAAACCTATTCCTGTTTTTTTTCTAAACAATAGGTGAATAATAACCACAATGGTGCCTCACAACGTCATTGCTTAGAGCTGCCACATCCAAAGTCTGTATAGCCATGATGATGGTCAACCACCAGCAGAAGAGGACCAAGAAGAAAAATAAAATCACTAATGCTTTATCATGATTTTAATTTATCATTTAAGCAAGGTGCAGGGAATCCTACAATAGCAATCAAATAGAAAGTTTGGAGACTGAAAATGCACAATTCTCCATTTTCACCCCAGCTTTCTAAAGGAATCTGGGAGGATCTGTGCAGAGGTCCTACCACAGGGACAGTCAGTTCTCTAGGTTCTGTTTCTAAGTCATATTCTCAGTCTGTGCAGACATCTGAAATGCCCCAAGATAGCTTGTCTTACCCTTGAACAGCTGCATCATTTTGTCACAGATCTCATGTTGTGGAAGGGTTGTCTGTCTAAAGTCTAGACTCTATAAACAGTAATGAACGATACAATGTTGGGTATGGATTAATGCAGGTATAATATAATGACATTGTTCCGCTAGCCAAATTCTGAGAATCAAGGCTTGCTAAAATGGCCAAAGCTAGCTTAGTTTGGGTGTTGCATAGCTGAGTTTTTTTTCTCCTAATGAAGGTTTTTCTTTCATTTGCACCTGCAGAGAATTCCATCATAGTAAATCTTGTTAAAATATAAGGATTTCTCTGGGCTTTTTCTTTTAAGCCTTATACGTGCCTAAATTAATAACTGGTAAGCTGAACTTTGAGCACCTCAGGCTATTTGCAGCATGCATTTTTCTTGTAAAATGTGTACTACTAGATTTTACAGCCACACTTAAAAGTTAGAAACCTTTCATGTGATGTGTACAAAGCAGGAGGAAAATGATCTTCGAGGGGAGTCCTTGCTCTCCTTGACTTTTTATACAAGAGTTTTGGAGTCCTAAATAAGCACAAGTCATTCCTGATTTGGGGGGACTCTAATTGAATTAGAAGGCTGCGTGTTGGCTTTTGTGCTACACAACATGCCCAGTGGAGCACTATCCACATTGTCTAGCAGAGAGACCAGACAAATAATGTTATTTTGGACCACAAGCTGGTTGAGCAAGCATGGGAACTGTAATCTACGATAGCAGATTTTCCAAGCGTTGGCCTAACTGGTCACTGCTGTTCGGTAAGCACGCTTGTCCCAAATATTTCAGAAGAGGAGAAGGGCTGCCTAGATTGAGTCAAGTGCCCGTGTCTTCTTTTCCTCCCCCATCACCTGCACTATGTGCAGTGCAGGAAAGATGATGGCTGATACTTCTTTAATAATAGTGGAGCCAATCCACATTCCAAAACATTTTACCCCACATTATAGGCTTTCTGAAATTTGTTGATATTTAAAACAATTCCTCCTCCTCTCCTAACCTCTCATGATATGGGACATGGTGGCGCTGCGGGCTAAACTGCAGAAGCCTGTGTGCTGCAGGGTCAGAAGACCATCAGTCATAAGAATCCACGCAACAGAGTGAGCTCACGTCGCTTTGTCCCAGCTCCTCGCCAACCTAGCAGTTCAAAAGCATGTAAATGCGAGTAGATAAATAGGTACCACCTCGGTGGGAAGGTAAAACGGCGTTCCCTAGTCACGCTGGCCACATGACAATGGAAACTGTCTTCGGACAAGCTCTGGCTCTACGGCTTGAAAACAGGATGAGCACCGCCCCCTAGAGTCGGGTACGATCGGACTAAAAATGTCAAGGGGAACCTTTACCTTTACCTCTACGGATGGTGAACCTTAACACCCAGTTGCTCAGCTTCATCAGAATGTGACACAATAGTTCTCTACATTGTTCCCTGGACTCCAGCAGACTTCAGTAACAATTTAGTAGCTATTATCTGCACATGTACTTAGTGCGACTTAATCACGTGCCATATTTGGGCTTCTAGCCTCTCAGTTCAGGTTTTCCCTTCCTTTCCCTTTTGAATGTTCAAAACGAATGTACTGTGGAATAATTTAATGCTACTGGCATTGGAGGCCAGTATTGTCAGGTCCTGGCTGAGGCTCATACCACATACTTGTTTTAGTAGGACCATCTTGAAGGGCTAATTCTGTTATTGCCCGTGCACCTGCTCTCTTCAGCCGATGACCAGTGGAAATGAGCAGTCACTTCTGCATGCTTTATCCTTTTCCTCTGGATGCTAGTTTGGAAGGCAATATAGCCCAAATAGTTATTTTTAGAGAGAATCAGATTTCTAGTTGATATGTGAATACATCCTTCCCTAAATCATTCTCCTTCAGCATCTGGAGGGCATCTGGATTGACGAAGGGTATCCAAAACACTATTCCAGTAAGTGAGTACATCAGTGTTAGGAGTGTGGTTTCAGTGACCTGAAAAATGGCTCTTCTTCCATTTTTGTTGCATTTTTGTGTGTGTAGTTTGAATAATATAGGCAGTGGCCTGCAGGAACTAATATAACAAGGCTAATAGATAAGGGTGATTGGGCAAAGAGCCCCTTCCCCAGGTTTTTTTTTGGGGGGGGGACTTAAAGGAGGCCTCTCTTGGAAGAGGTATCCAGTCCACGTTTAATTCAGAGAGAAGGAGTCAAAAGAAGAGAGCATGAAGAGTAGGGAGCCACTGATACATTTTCTTCACTGTGATGAGATGTATTCTTATTTCTTTTTAAATTATAGTAATAATTCAAAAAATGGAATCAATACACATAACTCAGTATATGCTAATTCGGTCCATGCCCACTTTTCTCCTCTATTTTGGGGGTGCATTTCTTCTATTTTGACAATACCTATTATCCTGTAATAATGACATTGGCTGCAATCTTGGGCAGAGGTGACTTCTCCTTCGAAAATGATCCATTTCCAAACCTGTAATCCAGCAGACACTTTTTCTAAATCAGTTTGTATTAGCTTCTTGCTAAAGTTGATGTTGCTCCCATTTTTACAATTTTTGCTAGTCACTGATGTTTTATTTTCAGGTATTAAGAGGTACAAATAATGAAAGGTCACAGGGCGAAAACCAGAGTGATATGACAACTATGATTAGGAATGGAAGAGAGGGGAAAGATTCCTTATTTCTCTTGTCTTTGTGTCAGTGGTCTGTGTTTTGGGCAGGGAGACCATCCCTTTGGGGTGAGCTTGTCTCATACGTAGACTGTAAGTCCTAGTTGAACATCACCTGTCACTCTAGTGGAGGCAGATAGTGGTTGAGCATGGAGGTGAGGTCGTCATCTCCTGTGTAGAAATGCCAAAGTAACATACTGTGTAACTGAGTAGAGTCCATTAGGTTTTTCACCTCTAGTCTGCTGATATCAATACGTTTTTGTTTTTATTTGTAAATAAACTCTGCATCGGGCCCTTTTGAGAGAGGGCAAAAAGCATTTTGAATCCTGATTATATTTTATACAGTATAAAAATCAAGACTTGTTTCTGCAATGTGGCAAAGCTTCACTGGAATTGTCTGCAGGCTAATTGCATAGGGAGTAAATAAGCAATGTACGATAATCCCCAGAAGTAAATTGTGGTTTTGTGCTTTTAGATTTGCAGTTCAAATATTGTTTATAATATCTGCTTTTTATGTTTTGCCTAGATGCTCAGCCTTCTGACGGAGAAAGGGAAATATGGAACCAAGTCAATGCTGTCTTACAGGATTCAGAGAGCATGCTTTCAGACCTACAATCTTACAAAGGAGCTGGACAAGAGATTAGAGATGTGCGTTATACCATACCACAGCGCCAGATTTTACGAGGAAGGAACGTTAAACACCAGTTTGCAGTATTTCTTTCAACTTTGTCTATCCCGGCAAGACCAACAAGGGCCTGTCTCCTGTTAGGAGCATCATGCCCCAGAGTCATCGGGCTTTGTATGTGTTCCAGCTTACCCTTGCTTGAGAAGGATCTTTCCTCATCAAAAGCAGGGTGAATTTGATTTAAATCGTGACTTAAATTTTAATAATCAGAATATTTTGATTTAAAATTTTTAATGATTGTTTTAAAATTTAAATTGTGATTTAAATCAATTTGATTTTTGCAAGGTTGTTGATTTTTACTCGCCCTGATTGAAAGTAACAGGGCTGCCGCATGAATATCAGAGTATTGAATGCCTCTCCCCCCCCCCCCCCGAGCCAAATGCTGGATGTGTGTAATGGATGGTAAAACTGAAGAAGATTCTGGCCTTGATGTTTTAAATAATGTATTTTTCTTTCTGCAAAATTTGAAACTACAGATTGTGAGGACTTTCCTGGCTTTTGTACGGGTTTCAAAGACAGAAGGTTAATGCTACTCCAGGAGGTCATCAAAACCTTAATCTTATTGAAACCGATACGAGCCCTCCTAAGGTTTACAATTTGAAAACAAGATGGATATGTGTGTGTGTGTGTGTGTGTGTGTGTGTGTGTGTGTGTGTAAAAAAACCCAGAAAAATTGGGGAGGAAACGGGGGCTTGGTTGGGTTTGGTTTTTTTTTTCAAAATTGTGGGGGTTTTTTCAGAAAAACTGACAGAATGTGGCATGGGAAATATGTTCTTTTACAATTTTAAATAATACATCCTTGATATGGTATTCAAACTATATAACACGAAGACCTTAACGAAAGACTTCTGAGAGTTTATGTATTTAAGTTCACTCTAGAGATGTAAAATTTCCCAAAAATTCCATTTTTTCCAGAAAAACACAGGTGGGGGGACTTTTTCCAGAAAAAAATGAATTTTTTTGAAATGTTACATCTCTACTTGGTTCTTGTGCATGGAAATTGTGTGAGACAAGATTGCACTGTGGTTTTTATTTAAGCTCTTGTTTTTTAATTATTTGGAGCTTGGAAAAGCTAATCTTCTGAAGTACAATTCCCCAACCGCTCCTTCTGTCCATGATGGCTGCAGGAGTCCAAGAGTTAAAGTCCAAAGAAGTAATTTTTTAAATGCTCTTGAGCCAGCTGGTGGAATGTGTGCACTTTGTGTTGGCCAGAAGGTTTCAAACTTGCATGCCAAACCGGCACGAAATGGCATGTCTGCAAATAGAAACTTCAAAAATAGACTTGACTTGGTGACCTCTGTGTGCTTTTTTGATTTATTTTATCATACATTGTGAATCAATATATGACATTCATGTATAGAGCATCAACAATGTATATGATGTTCTACATCAGTGGTTCTTAACCTTTTTGAAAGAAACGCCCCCTTGAGCCATTGAGGAAGTTATCATCGCCCCCCCTCCCCGTGGTGATGATATTTATTTATTTATTTATTTACTTATTTATTTATTTA